AGGGTTTTAAAAGTTCTCCTATAATTATATCAGATAGAGAAAGGGCAGGGCATGCTTTAACACTGAATCTTTCCTTATTCATTTAGAGCTTGTCTCGAGCCTTGAGAAGTTTAAACACCTTGCAGAACTGCCTTCCTAGCAAGGCCTCATGCTCATGTTCTCATAAATGTCTTATTGATTTTCAAGCATGGGATTAACCCCAAATTCCCTTACCTAGTAACTTTTTAAAAGTGATTTTATTAATAATGCTTCTATCTTCATTGAACCTTGTGTTACTTTAATTGCTTTAAGCTTTTTTTATTTTTTTAACAAAGTATCTAAGGGGAAACATGAGTAGCTAAGTGTTCCTCAGTTATATTGCCTATATGCAGGACAATGGATTGAAATATTTATCATTGTGATGCCTGAGATACAGACTGAATTAATGTTGAGCATGGCAGGGGTAATTTGATCAGAGGTAATTTGATCAAGGAAAGGCATGCTGGAGAGCTAGAAAGCCTCTCTGAACAGCTGCTCAGGAGAGGATTTCTAAATCTTTTGTCCTCAGTTTCCTAGACAGCTATTTTCTTTACCTCTTCTCTAGATATTTGCTACTACATTATTTTCTTAACTTCAAAATTTTTCTCTCAGTAGTAGTAGATGTTTCCAAAATGACAGGAATCTATCTCAATCTTCCTTCTCTAAAGTCAATTAGAGGCAATGTAAAAACCAGTCATCATCTCTCTGTGTCTCATTTATTGTCGCATCCTCCCACATATTCTGACACATCGTTCCACAAAAACTTTTTAGACATTCTCAAGAATCAGGAAATTGCACTGTGCAAGTTCCTCTGTATCTTTTTTATCATCTCCAGTGACTTCCCTTTTCTAGTTTATAAAGCAAAGTGATCTAGCCTTCACTGTATGGTCCTCTTTAAGCTAACAAAGACCTTTTATTTTCATCAACTGTCAATTCTATTACGACAATAATACTAACCTCAATTGCTTTATTTTCAAAAAACCCACATTATTGCTTTCTCTATCCTGCCTGCTATTTTTGAAAAGACAAACAACAGAACTATTTGTTTTAGTGTCTCAATCCCAATCTCACCATGAAAGTCATGACATGTTCAACATATAGTACAAGCACTATGAAAAAAATATTTTTGACAACTATTTTCTTGTACTCTACTTTGATGTACCTGGTTTTCTCTGATTTGGCCCAAGTACATTACATTTGTTGTGCATGTTCTGCTGTTGTCCTGAGTGAACAAAATAATCTAGCCACTCACTACCATGAGCTGATATGACGTTGTCCCCTAAAAATGCATTTTGGCAAATCTGTGAGCCTGTTATTCATTCATTTTCTTGCCCTCTGAGTTAGTTAGATATTTCTGGCAGTCAGTCTATGTCTTGAACTCTTTTGTATACACAGCTAGGTGTAATATCCAAAATGCAGCATAGCTGCATACGCTCCTCTTATGCAGTAATTTATGCCTTTCAACATAATACGTGCAGGGAGAAAATACAGAAAATGCATTATGAATAAGCCTCTTGGACATGGAAAACTCTTTTTCATACTTGATGTAAGTTTCTTGTTAATGAAAAAACATACACCACATTAAGTACGTGACCTGAAAGCTGTCTTTTAATTATCCCATGCAAAGCTGGATATTTGTGGCATTTCTCTAGTTTTGTATTCCACCTGTTCTTCTTAGTAGAAGCTGGGGAAATGCACTGAGCTACATACCAAAGCACGCATGCTGATTAGCTGTGTTTGTATGCCCTGCTACACTATCATTGCCTGATAATTCATTCCCAGGGTGATACCACTTACTTGGTCTGTTTAGCAACTTGAGTAACACCTTGCAGAGAAGGAGAACATGGTAACAAAATAATGAATTAACAGGGTGACATATGTCTGAGAGGTCATATTTCTGTCTCCTCTACAAAAATAGATTTAAACAGCCTGGAGCTCCTTCACCTGGATTCCACTGTGGTCTATGAGGAGCAGTGCAGTATAAGCCACGGACTTAATAAATGGAGAGAAATGGAAAAGGAACCACAGACATAAAAGGAAAGCAACAAAAGACTTATTTCTAGCCAAGAAGTTTACTAGAAAGCAATAAAAGAAATTACATTCTGTACACAAACAATATGCAATGGTTAATAAACATTCAATATTGCACCCTTGTGCAGGAGTTTGTGTGAAAGCCTTGACCTCAGTAGCTTCAGCATCTAAGACATTATTTAGTAGTATCATTATTTCTTAACTTTGAACAGAAATTGCATGGAATTACCTTTCTCTCAAAGCACCAAAATCAAATATTTGTGTACTCATTTGGTATCTTTTCATGGCTGTAATTTTAGATAACAGTTTTTTGTGATACTTTTGAGTCTAGCTAATGTATTACACAAAAATTCCTTGGGGCATGTGTTAGTGCAAATTTCACTTTGGTGAAAAAAATCACAAAAATGATAAGATTTGGTTTGACTCTTGACCATTGAATGATGCACCATTATTAACTGTGTCACATTTTCTTAAATCAGCATATCATCTTAAATAAACATTCCAGTATACACAGAATAAGGTACCCAAGGCTTCTGTAAATTGGCACTTATGAAAACAGAACATTTACAGTATGCTATTGCCTGATGTGACAGTTCTTTCAACTTTTTGTGCGAGGGTGGGTACTTTTTTTCTTAAGGTTGGGCTATTTGAAAAATTAACAATGGAAGTCCTCATGCTTCTACAAAAGTTTTGTTTAAAATTGAAGGAAAGGTTCAAAAACTGTCAACTTATGAATAGGAGAGAAAAATATTTCATAACTACTCCCTACCCCCCAAGTTTCACCAAGAAGACTGAGATGCTAACTCAGGAATTCTAAGAGATGTCTACAAGAGGATTCTTCCTATGGGCAATATTTTATCTTTTATGCAGTTGATCCAATTAAAAACTTGTGATGGTAAAGGACTATGTGGCAGCAAATTTCTTAAGAGTACCTGTAGTGAGTTGGCAACAAATCCAGTGCAGTCTGAAAGAGCAAAGCACACATATCCCTTACATCCAAGCGATATCTGCTGGCTCCAGGGGTAAATCACAGATCCATCCTTCTATTACTTCCATCCTGCAGAGGATTGGCACATCCTGTTCTAGTTAGGAACACCATCTCTTATATCAAATATATTTCTCCAAGGTTATGGGTATCAGTGTGGATCCTTTTTTACCATCTTGAAAGATGTGTCATTTATATTCTCAAATGGAATAATGGCAAGAGTCTGCTTAGCCAATAAAACCAGGTTAGAAACTCTGGTTTATCAGAATACTTCCAAACAATTTCAACCTATGATACCCAAGATTGTATTCAACCAAGCTGATCTCTGGACACAGAATTATCAGCATTTGTTTTTTGGTGTTTTTTTTTTTTTTTTTTATGGAAACAGTGCGTGCACTGAGATTTTAAAGCATTCCAGCATTTCTAAAGAGTCCAGATTGTTCTTAGCATTCATGCCAAATTATCAACAATTTAGAAAAACTGCTGCCAAAGGTCATTCCAACTACAGCTGTTTGGAATACAGAGGGGTTTATTGATCTTTTCTTTTGCATAGCTCTTTAAAAAAAATTACGTTGTGGCAGTAAAGACCATGACAGATGTTGATCATTGCCATAGGAGAGGGAAGGGGAAGGAGGGGCAGGTGGATATCAGGGTTAAATTGCAGGTAAAAGACTCCATTGCAATGCTATTGTTAGATCCCTATGTGGTAACACTGCTCTCATGATGTGACTTTAATCTGGCGCTGTACTTATGTCCCAACAAATTAAGGAAGCTGGCTCAGCTGGTTGGGACAGAGCTCATTAGGCATGGCACTTTGGGTGGCACAATTTTCACAGCTCCAAAGCAAATTGGAGTCCTCCCAGAAACACAAGTATCATATGCTAACAAATCACTTATCCCAGAGGCCACCTTTGACTGCTCTTCTGAAGTACCGTGAATCATGATCTTTAGGAAAACTTAATGGCTATGATCCATTTTAGCAGCTGGATTATATTACTTCACATTTTTAAGGACAAAGGTTATAATAACGAGATCTTGTGTTAATCGAGTTATTCAATTAGGCAACATAGTTACCTTAATGGTTCAGTAACAGTTTGCTGGGTGCTAGGAGCAATGTAATTTCTTTCTTCTAGGTAATAGAAAAGAAGGGAATTCCATAGATAAAGGCAGATTAGTAGAAAACAGAAGAGGGATAAGAGACAAGGCAAAATAGGAACACTGTTACTGAGAAACAAGGAGAAATTACAAGACATTAATGACAGAGATGCAGTCTGAGTCAGAGTACTTTAGAGTCTTGAAAGCACAAGTAAAACATTTAAACCTGATACACCAAGCAAAAGAAAACAAAGAACATAAAAGACAAGCGTGTGTGTGTGTGCACATGATGTACATGTTTATAGAGCTCAGGACTAAAACAAAGGATTTTTCCTGCCTACCCAACAGTCCACAACATTGTATTTTCTATGGGATAACATCTGTGAATCTCGTAACAAGCTAATGAACAAGAGCATTTATTCCAGCTTTTACGTGGTTAAGGGTGCTCTTATTTCTACTGTATGCTCATATGCATTTGTATTGAGGAATTTTAGTTGTTCACATTAATGTAGCAGACAGGCTTATAAGCTATAAAAGCAGGTAAACATGTTCCAAGGTGTAAGCTACATTTACCACACACCTGAAAATTTCTCAAAAACACTTATTTTGATATGTCTAATATCTGTAACATTAAATGGTTGCTTTTTCATGCAAAAATAGATTCTACCTGCTAGGGGAATGAGAGGGAGAAGGCTGGTGGAGTGTTTTGAAGTGAGAAAAACTGGCGCTTTTTTTTTTTTTTTTTTTTTTTTTTTTTTTGGAGGCTGTCCTCACTCTATTCCTCATGCGACTTGGGCCAACCAAAACTCGCATAGCCTCAGGAGCTGCCAACAGTCCTTATCAAAGCTTGCAGCAGCTTCTCACGCGATTTACATACACGCACACACAAATCCCCCTCTCCACCGAGCGGAGCTGTAGCTGCCCTGGGACCCTTTCTCCGGGGGACGCCGCGAGTCTATCCTCTCCGGAAAGCCTCGGGGTGGGAAGAGGGGATGAAGCTGGTCTTCTCTCTGGCTCTTGCACTCCAGAGTTCATCCAGACACTCGGGAGGACGATTTAATGACCCGCTCCGCCCCTGCTTCCCCCCGCCCAGGCAGCTCCGGGAGGCTCTCGGTCACACGAGTGGGGAGTGGGGGGGAATGAGCCGCGGCGGCGGCAGAAGGAGGAGGAGGGCAGGAGGGAGGGCAGGAGGGAGGGCACGAAGGAGGGAGAAAGGAAACCGGGCAGGTGACACCGCGCTGGGTTGCTCCGGCTCGGCGGGCGCGGAGCGGGCGGCAGCAGCGCGGCCATGCACGTCAATGGGAAGGTGGCTCTGGTCACCGGCGGGGCGCAGGGCATCGGCCGGGCTTTCGTCCAGGCGCTGCTGGGCAAGGGCGCCAAAGTAAGTCCCGAGAAGAGCGTCCTCCCTTTCCCTCCCCTCTGCCTGCAGCCGGCACCCGCGGGCCGGGGGTGGTAGCAGCCCCCGGAGCTCGGCTAGGCTCAGCAGGCGACCTGTCCGTCTGTCCGTCCGCCCTCCCGCCAGCCACTCATTTTCCTCCTGCCCCGCTTAGGTAGCCCTGCTGGACCGCAACTCCGAGGCCGGAGAGGAGAGCAAGGCGGCCCTGGACGAGCAGTTCGAAGCGCAGAGGACGCTGTTCATCCAGTGCGACGTGACGGATCAGGAGCAGCTGAAAGGTAGGAGGTGAAGGCTGAGCGCTGCCCCGGGCTGCAGCACCGGCAAGCGCTCCGCGGAGAGAGCTCTGCGGGACAGCCTGCTCCCGATCGCTTCTGGCACTGACCCAAAAACAATTTGTTCCTGAACCTGCAGATGTGAAATATTGCTACCAGCATTACTACCACAATTTCACTTTGCTCCTTGGCACATCAGAAAGAAAGCCAAAGTCATTTCCATTGTGTTGTCTGTAATATTTTTGCATGAAAGCCTCTGCAGAAGATAATTGCTATTTTATGAGTAATATATATAAACTTTAAAGCTCAGACTTGCTTTTTATGAGGTTTCAGTAGAGATTCCAAGCTGCATTCCCTCGTCACAGGAGTAATAAATTCTGTGCTGGGTTGCAGTGCTCTTTACATACAGTGCACTTACTTTCATGGTGTGCTGCCACAGCTGAAAGAAGAACTGGCAAAAACTGGCATGCTACTTCATCATGGTGTTAACTATAGGGTGATAACATTTCACACACATTTTGCAGATGCATGGAATGGAAGCAGCTTCCCTCATGAATGATTTGCATTTCTGTTTTCACTTAGTGGATAAACAGTGTTCCCTACTAAGTATCATATAACGTTGATGTACCTTCACAATATTTCATAACAGGCACATCACTTCATCAAAGTTTCATTATTAAATGGTACATTCATAGGCAGTGACTCAGATTCAGATTTTGACATCTCTTTTGTCAGTGTCCTTTCCCCAGATTCATTTCTGCCATGCTAGATGTGAACAGTTTTGGTCTGTTTTCATTCATTACACTTCACTGGTCCTTTCTCAACAGTGATCATTGACCATAGCCGTTTCAGAAAACATTGCTGCTATTCCAGAATTCAGCCGTACCGTCCACTGTTCCAAGATAGCATGATTATTCCTAATTCTATAGCTTTACATTGTTTATTTTTAAGAAAGATGCTGTACTTTAAATCTGGGATCTGCTGTAATCAGCTAAGTTTTTATCAGTCAGGTTGATGATTGACTTTTTCTCCAAGTGGGAGGAGTAAAGAGCAAGAAAAAGCATCCTAGGGGTAGGAATAACATGTGCTGCTGTGTGGGTGTTACCTCAGTGTGCCTTGTCTCCCACAACTCCTCCTTTCTTTAGTGCCAGGTGAGTGCAGGACCAACAGGGTGTGAATCAGGAGCTGGAGTAAGTAGGACAGGTCAGCAAGGGAGTTTTTGGAACCACGTTAGTAGGAAAAAAGCAATCAGAGTAAAATTGGAAATGGTTCTTGCAAAGAAAAGAGCAAGAACAGGAGGCTGCTGCTGCTAACACCTCTCCGATCATTGCATTGATTCTGCTGCAGGTTTCTTACCATAGATTTGCAATGATGTCTCACAATCCTTTAGGGATTCTGAGCTGGTTTTGGTGTTGGTTTTTTTTTGTTGTTGTTGTTGTTTTTAACGGTTTTATTTTTCATATTTTTCCATTTGCAATTGTAAGCTACTACTTCACAAATTTAGATTAATTTCACATTTAGGGTTTAAAGAGGGTTCACATGAATCAAGTCCTGTACTTTATGTTAAAGGTCATGTGTGTGAATGGAGTTCCTCTTTTTTTTTACTTTAGCCCTTACAGTAGGAAGAAAGTCCCAATACTAGAACTAACGTTTCTAAGTATGTGAGGTTTATGGGCAAGAAATCACCAGCTTAATCTACTTTCAAGTCTTGCATGTACTTTTTTCTCTGGTGGTTTTCACCTAATACCTCCCCC